ACACATGGTCCACCCGTGCCTGGAGCTCACAGACAGCCCCAGGCCCTGCAGCCCCCAAGGGCTGCCCTGTGTGGGGAGGAAAAGGCTGGAGATGCTGGGGCTTGAACCCAGGGCCTCTTGCATGCAAAGCAAGCGCTCTACCGCTGAGCTACATCCCCACACTCATGGGGGCCTTCCTGGGGGGCTCTGCTTTTAACAAAACCTTCCTCCTGCCTTCTCCTCCTCAGCCCACACCACTCCCCAACACATCAGCACACCTCCACTGCTCTTCCACAACTCACCTGCCTCACAAATCACACCTGCAGCACCACACACTCACCCCTGCCTACTCAACATGCCCTCAACAGCCCTCCTCCCCCTGGACACGCACCCACCCCAAAACCAAACGCTCTCCCCTCACAGCAGACACTGCCCTGGCCCTGCTCCCCACTGCAACCCAAGGTTGTCCCCCGCACTCTCTGGGCCAGGGATCCAGAAAAGATGGGGCTCGTCCGGGAGTTGAACCCGGGACCTCTCGCACCCAAAGCGAGAATCATACCCCTAGACCAACGAGCCGGGGTGCAGCACCCCTTTGCACCCCTACTCTCGCTGCCCCACACCTCCTTGGGACTGATGGGGGTGCCTCGCACTGCCTTTTGCCCCTGCAGAAGCACCAAGTTCCCTAAAGTGCAAGGGACCTCTGCACATCACCTGGACGAAGCCTCCTGCTCAGGCAGGGACACCCACATGAGGTTGCCCAGGACCATGTCCATTGCCCACTGCCCAATTCGGCAGTACCTCTGGGGCAAAATAACGATATGGCACTGTAGGCTGTGCTGGCGTGATAGTCCACTCCTGGGGCTCATTTTAACCCCTGGGAGCTGAAGTTAGGTCAAGAGGAAGGAACAGCCCCAGCTGTCCTGTAGATTACAGGGCCGTGGGCAGGTGCAGGCAGGGTGTGCTTCTCACCCATAATTACCAGGCTGCAAAACATCCCCACGGCAGCCTGGCTCCATCAACACCACAGGAGGAGTGCAAGCAAGAGCAACCTTACCCTCAATAAGCAGATCAATGTCCTCTTCTCTGGGAACTGCACAGACACCTGATTCTCAGTAAACATGAATCAACAGTCTTGAAATATTTAATTTAATAAATAGTGAGCTTGAAACTGTCATCCCAGGCTATTTCACTCCAGGATGCTCTAAACACTTTGGAGCTGGGCTGTGCTTCCACTGCACGGCACATTGTATCCTGGTTTCCCCACTCCTGGGGGGATAAACTCAGAGGAGGGTCTGTGGGGCAGCTGGGTGCGGTGTCTGGTGCTGGTTTGGGCTCAGGATGCAGCACGGTGCTGGCAGGGGGAGCAGGGCTGCTGGCTCACCAGGGTGCGAGCCATGAGAGCTCCATTCCCACGGGTGGCACCAGAAGGACCAGACCGGGATGCCCGTGCCTTTTGATTTGTGTGCTTCTTCCCCTGTGACTCAGGTGTGTGGTGGTCTGTGATTACCTTGCTCTATGGGATTTTCAGCCCTGAGGAAGAACCGCAGTCCTCACCGAGGAGTCCCCCAGGGCTGGAGTCATCGCCAGTCTGGCTCCCCAGGCCAGGCAGGGCCCCTGCCCCGCGGTTGGTCTGTGGGTGCAGCGGTGGGTGCCGGGGCAGGGTGTGATCTCAGCAGTGCCCTCTCCTGCCTCTTATCCCTACCACGCGACCTCTCTCTGTCCTTCCTGAACTGTCCTTCCCACTGTGCCACGGTGGGAAATCACAAGGCAAGGCACAGGGTGAGACCTGGTGGGTGAGGAAGGAGGTTTTATTGACAAATAAATCCCACTGTCAGCTGCCTCACCTGCAGGCTCCCAGCTCCAGGGTCCCTGGACGTACGAGGAATGGCTGAGGGCACTGGGCCTGTTCAGCCTGGAGAAGAGGAGGCTGAGGGGAGACCTCATCGCAGTCTACAACTTCCTCGTAAGGGGGTGTCGAGAGGCAGGAGACCTTTTCTCCATTAACACTAGCGACAGGACCCGCGGGAACGGGGTTAAGCTGAGGCAGGGGAAGTTTAGGCTTGACATCAGGAGGAAGTTCTTCACAGAGAGAGTGGTTGCACACTGGAACAGGCTCCCCAGGGAAGTGGTCACTGCACCGAGCCTGACTGAATTTAAGAAGAGATTGGACTGTGCGCTTAGTCACATGGTCTGAACTTTTGGGTAGACCTGTGCGGTGTCAAGAGTTGGACTTGATGATCCTTAAGGGTCCCTTCCAACTCAGGATATTCTATGATTCTATGATTCTATGATCCCTGTCTCTACCCAGCTGACTCCAGGCGTGTGTCCCCAAGCACTCTGTTCAGAAGTCCTTTGCCCCAGCGAAGATTGGGAAGCTGCCTGTTGAGACCACTTTGCACCCTATCACTGGCCCCAGGCCACCTGGGACTGCCACTCCTGACAGTCCCATTCACTCACCATTTGCACCAGTCTCCCCTTTTCCATGACAACTCTCTCCGTTTCTCCACTTGCTGCAGCCCAAGATACAACTTCATCCCACCACCGCACTTGCAAAGAGCTGCAGGCTTTCCTTGTGTAGGAGATGCTTGCTGGCTGCTTCTGTCAGCTTCCCCAAGCAGAGAAATGTAGAAAAAAAAATGAAATAAAAAATGAGGGAGCCCATTTGCCAAGTGTAGTGGTGTATGCTGGGGTGTCCTTGTGGATCTAACCAGCTCCAAAGAGGAGATCAGCACTCCCATGGACGTGATCTCATCATAAAAGGGAGTTGCCGCCACCACTGTCCCAGGCCAGGGTGCTTTGGCTGCTCCCTCATACACTGTAATTTTTACTGATGCACTTGTGTTTGCCAAAGCAAGGGAGAGAAGAAAGAAAAAGAAGGGAAATGGGAGTCTCCAGGAAGCAATGACTGCTGCAGGAGGATGATCCTGTGTGATGGCAGTGAGGAGGTTTCTACCAAGGACGCGAGCAGGTGAAGGAAAATGGTGGGAGAGCAGAAGTCATGAAACTCGACAGATTTGGATATGGGCTCTGCTCCAGGCTTCTCTGAGAACTGCTGCTGTTGCTACTGTTGAAAGCCATGAGTGAGCGATGCTGGGACCAAACCCCAGGACCCAGCTATTTCCCTCGCCGTGCGTCCTTCCACCTGCTAAGCTTTATTTTTCACCACAGTCTTGGTATGTAGCTCCCAGTTTCTCACCAGGGCCCTTGGCTGTGCCGTCTTTGTGGGAAGCTTTATTTTAGGGCCTGATTAGCAGGTCTGTGGGGTCCTGCCTGGGGCAAGCACTGGCTGTGCAGTGATACGTGGCGGAGTGAATTCAGGGCAGCTCAAGTCAGGAGTCCCAGCACCCAGAGAGACAGGGTGGCAGGTCCCTTGGGATGGGGATCCCTGCAGTGCCTCAGGTCCTCCCTTCCCTGGCTCTGTCTGCACTAAAGGCATCACAATTTTCAAGTCAAATTAAGGACCTGTGTGGATTTCAGTCTCCTTTGAGTCACTGTCTCTTCAGAATAAATAAATAAATAAATAAATAAATAAATAAATAAATAAATAAATAAAAATCTGTATGATCTCACCAGAGGAGTCGTTGTAAAAAGCTGTAGCAAAATGTCGTTATTATTTTCCCCTGCTCCCTTCTGGACTGTTCTATGCATCAGACTGGTGGAAGAAAGTTGCACAAGCCCCAGATGCCTACAACTTTCTAATGAGGCTTTTTCTAGAAATCCAATGCTTTTTTTTGCTGCAGCACTCAGGAGAATTTTACACCCCCTCACAATGGAACAATTTCTGCAGTTGGGATAAAAGTATCAGAACAGTCCTTGGAGCAGAGATGTGAACCCACACCTCTCTTCTCCTGGTGCTCTGACTGCTGAACAAGTGCCATGCAAATTATTTCCAAATTAAGAGCACTTCTGTGAAGATCTGAGCCAGAAAACCAGTTGAGCTTGGTAAAAGAGTTTTGAGGACCAACATGCTTTCAAGCTCAGCATAATCCCTCATTGCTAAAACACTCATAAACTCTATGCAAATTTTCACACTAACAAAATGTTCAAGGAATGAAAGAAGATTTAGACAATGCCCATGGAGGACTTAGTCGCACTCTTATTCCTCCTTTCATTAGCTAAAAATGTTCTGCCTGATGTTATATGACACATGAAAAAGAGGCTTACTCAGTGCCTGGCATATTTTTCTAGAGATGCCTCCATCTGCACACAGTTTGCATCACAGACACCCTTCTTCCTCTTATGGAGAGATGCTAACATGGATTTGGGCTGCTGGGCAAAGTTCCTGCCCCATCCAGGTTTGGTATGGCATTCCCTAAGCCGTCATGTGGAGCTAGCACCAGAACTCCTGTGGTTGTGAGGCAAATGCTGCAGTCAACGTCTGTACAAGTGCATGTCTATGTGTACATGTAGCAGCACAGAACAAAATATTTTCTGCTACTACATTCTGCAAATGCACCAGCCACATTCAGACATACCTCACAGCTCGCTTGCACCTGTGCTGTCTAGGTTTAAGTCATTGCATACTCATTTATATAAGGCCCCATGCATCCTCCATAAAACAAAAATAAATAAATAAAAATACAGTGCTGCAAAAACAGGGAAAATGCCATTTTGAAACATCCAATCTCCGTGTTGCCACTTCCTTGAGGTAACAGGCAATGAGACCGTTGCATGTCTCCCTACGCAGACACTTGCTCTGGGGCAGCAATAAAAAAGTCTTCATGCTGGGAAGTCTGCCTTTGGGCCGGACACAGCAAGCCACATGCCTCCATGAGCAGTGTGGTGCTGAGCAGCAGAAATTCCCATTTCAGACCCGAAAAAAAAGAACCTCCACACAGCAACAGGTTGCCTCCAGAGCACGTCACCACTTCAGACCAGAGGCAAAAGGAACACCAGAAGACTCAGGCAGTGATGTAGCATGTCTTTAATGAGAAAAAGAAATAGAATAAACAAGTTGAGACTATGAGAAGCGCATTTCCAGTGCTCACTAAAGGAATGGGCAAACCAACAAGGTGCTGCCCCTGCAGCCCGTGGCAATCACCTTCTGTCTGCAGCCAGCTAAAAGCGTTTTCCCCCAGCTAATAGCAAATGCCGTGTAGCACCGCAGGTTGTGACACCTACATGGAAACATACAGTGAGGCATAGCAAGAGAAAGGCGTACAGAGGCACGATCTTGAGTGGCGCGTGCTCGCAGCTCCCTTCCTGCTGCGGGAGCTGCGGATGCCCTCCACAGCCTGGAAACACACGGGCATCTCCTTAGTCCTCTTCCCCAGCCTTCTTCCAGTGCTTCGCTGTTCCTTCCCTGTGCCCTGCTGGCATCGGTGGGACGAGGTGACAGGCAAGGACACCCTACAGCCCACCACCGAGGCACAGCAGTCCCGCCTTCCCCAGCCCCCGGGCACCGCTGGAGGCCACCGGCACCCCGCAGCACCGGAGGTAGCTCCCAACCGCTGCCGATGCCGTGGAGCCCACCACCGTGTTCTGCGGGTAGGAGCTGAGGATGGGCCCGGGCAGGGTCACTACCACGGTGGGAGGCTGGATGACGGTGGTGGAGTCCCCGCAGCGCCGGTAGCAGGGCTCGTTGCAACTGGTGGCCAGTGGCCTGGGGCCGCAGGAGGAGGGCAGGCACAGGTCGTAGCAGGACATCGCCGGGTGAGGACGGACACCTGGAAGGCAGAGCAGGGAGTAAGCGTGAGGCAGAGACCATAGCCATCCCTGTGGAGCCCTAATTCTACGGCTCTGGCAGCCAGAAGAAAAGAGGAGTAGCCAGAGGGTACATGGGGATAATTCAGTGTGGGTTAGATGGTCTGCCCTGGAAGGCGGTGCTGGAGAGCTGACAGAAAGGCTTTCCCAAGCAAAATCCTCACTGAAATGCATCTGGTTGTGGTAAAAATAAATTAAAATAAAATAAATTATTATTATTATTATTATTTTAAGTAATCCATGCAGGTTGCACCTGGCTGTATGGTTACAGACTCTTGAGGTAGGTACCCAGTACCCCCTGCATCCCACACCCCCTTGCACCTGGAGCCCTGACTCCTCATTTTGCGACAGAAATAAACCCTTCTGGGGGCCTCTGCAGGCAGAAGACAGGCAACAAGCCTCGACCCCTTATGGAGGAGCAGGCAGAAGACATCGGTGAAAGCAACAGTTCGGCAGAAGGAGCCAGAGCCAGTCTCGACTTACCTGGGTGGCAGAGGCGGCAGCAGCTGGGAAGAGGGTGGCAGGGCCAGGCTCCGTGTGGGGTTTTATAGGGTGCCCTGTCCCTCCGGGGAGCCAGCGCATTCCTTCTGTGTGAAACTCTCCGGCAACCAGCAGTTTTCTCCTGGAAAGCTCCCTCAGCTGATTAAACAGTTTCCTCTTTCATCTGTTATGTTTTGTTTCCATTTAGTACTGAGTAAGATTGAAATGATTCGAGCTACAGGCAGTAATTATCTTACCTCCTAAGGCCAAAGTACATTTTAGGTCTTATGCTACAAGGCAGGAGAGCATTTCAGCAGAATTTAGGGCAGGCGCATCCCCGGCTCATCTCCCCTCCCTTCCCACCTTCCCCTCAGCACAACCACAAATCACTGGGGAAGCCAGATCCCAAGTGCACCTGAGGTGAGCCGGTGAGTAAGGGGGTTTAGGCTGAGCATGAGAATCATTTATCTGTGCATAAACCCAGCAAAAGCAGCCAGGCATCTGCACTGCCTCAGCCCCACATGGTCCCATTATGAAAATCAGGGATGCTGGAAGTGTGAAGGGCAGTGAGGGACCTTGCACAGCTTGGAGAAAAATGCACCAAGTGTTGTGTGGTGCTGCAGAAGGCACCAGGCAGCCCTCCTCCTTCCCCAGCTGCCCAGGTAGTACAGACAGGGACATGACTAAGGGCAAGCCCAGGTAGCTGAGCTAGGGTGGCATGGCCAAATTTTTATGCTTTTGGATTCGCTTAGAGGATTTTGCATGTTGTTATCCCCACACATGGTGTTCAAATTCTGCTTGGAAAATACAGCACATTATGAAAGCAAACTAATCAAAGACACAGAAAGATGTTAAAAAAGACTCCAGAGTCCATCCCTGAAGGTGACGCACACCATAAGTAGCTAATTTTGCTCACTGAGCTGAATTTGGAGGCCAAGAGCTTTCCCAGCCAGGTCTTTGGATATGCTAAGAGCAGTGAGCCAGAAGTTCACGGCTCTTCTTTCTTGTGATGGAGCAACATCATCAAGACATTCTAATTACAGGTGTGACACCGGATTGCTCTGCTGGAATCCTGCTAGCTGCTACAGAGCTGAGGAGTCGCAGAAGTCCCAACCTGCATTTAGACGTGAATCAGCAACATGTTGGTGAGAGGGAGCCGCTGACGTGGTACCGAGCAGGGGAATGAGCCATCAGGCTCCAGGGGCAAGGAAAGTTTGAAGGTTTTTCATTTCGTGCCAGCAGAGCCTAGATGAAGGTATAAACTATGGCAGTACTGGGGCACATGTACAATGCATGTGTGGAGCCAGGGATTCTCAGTAAGGCTGTTAAAGACATGCCTTGTAGGGGTTTTCAGGGTCGCTGTAGTTCCTGGGATGACTTGGCCTTGCATGGAGCCAGGCTTTATAGCACTGAGTTATCCCTAGTGACTCCTTCCTGCCTTGCCTGCCAGGGCAAAAAATGCTTTTCAGAGGTGATGGAGTCAAGCCCAGCTCATTTTAACCTCACTCTGGAAGGGAAAACAGAAAATCAGCTTTTCTGATGTTCGGAGGAGGACACATGCTTCAGTCAGCAGCAGCCCTGCAGCCTGCTGGAGTAAGGGAGGGGGCTGGAGGCTCGTCACAACTTCCTAAAGGGCCATCTGGGGAGCAGAAAAGGATGACGCTTTATTTTAAGCTTTTCTTTTTTGCCTTTTTGCAATGACAAAATGATGCCACAGGTGCACCTTGGACCCACAGGCTAAGACTCAAACCCTTCTTTTGCCAGGAAGGATTTCTTCTTGACTAACCATTTTCTACCCCTTTCTTCCATGCCTCTGTGCACTCCTGTGATCCTCGGGAGAATGACCTTCCTGAAGGACTCCCTGACTTCCAAACAGAGGCTTAAAAAAAAAAAAAAAGTCCTTTGCCTGGAGATGGGAACAGGGAAAACAAAAGGCACATGTTGGGAAGCTAAAATAATCAGATTTGTGTAATGAGAGAGATTAAAACAAATGAAAACCATAGGGGAAAGAGTTCTTCCTGAGAATGCAGGTATCTGGGAGAAAGGCAGGACTGGTTTTACTAACCCCTATTCACTTCAGGAAATGAGCAATTTCTGCCTGAGACATGACTTTCTCTGGGGAAACCACAAAACCAAGAAAATATCACCAGATCAAACATGTCAGGCCCATTTTTTTTTTAACTTTTGCAATGGACCTGGGATGCATGCATTTCAGCCATTTTTTCCTGCAGGTAAGAACAGGAGGAGAAAAACGGACCAGGACCAGTATTCACCATGATTCCCTTTCCATCCCCAAGCCCCAGCGGCACTTTGCAACTCTGATTCACTGCTCTGCATCTTGGTTTCCAGCAACCTCGTCTCTCTCTAGACGTCTGTGATGCCAGAGGAAGCATCCCCTGCCCCAGGACCTCCTGAGAGCCAAGGTGGAAATCCTAATGGCGCTTGTATTCCCCTAAGCATCTCCTGTGGAGGCTGCTGGACTTTGCACAAGTTCCCTACGGAGCTGGTGGACAGGGACAACCAGCCCCCACAGCCCCACCACAGGACAAGCCCAGGGCTGTGGGGACACAGACATCAGGAGCCCTGTCCCTGCGTGCAGCCCTGGGAGTGCAGCCTCGCCGGTGCCAGCAGGCAGAGCAGGCCCTGGGGCTGGGGGGAGGTCTGGTTTCACAGATCGTCTAATTGCCAGGTCCATGTCACTGAGGCTGGCACGTCCCCCCAGCAGGCCCTGTCACCTGGGCAGGGACAGGCCTGCTTCTCTGGGGCTGTAGCACGAGTCCACTCCTTGTCCCCAGGACACTCCTCCTGGGGCAGCCTGGCTGGCCCTGGCAGAGCTGGACAAGCGCCACGGGGCCCAGCAGCAGTGGGCAAAGACAGGGTGGGCACCTATCCCCGTTGTGGCTGTGGACAGGCTGCTGGGGCAAGCAGCTCCCTGCTGGCCACCAGGGCATCCCTGCAGGCCCTGGAAGGAAGAGTGGCCCAGGGGAAGGCCAAAAACCTGCATGGGGCCTGCAGTATGAGTGTCCCTCCCTCGCCCCCAAGGTGTCCCGGTGTGGCTTTTCCATGTCCTTGTCAACAGAAAAAAAAAGTCAGGTCAGGGAAGACACCTGCAAGGCTGGCAAAACATGTTTCCCTGGCTGCGGCAAAGTGCAGGCATGCCTTGAGAAATGCAGTGCTTCCCTTCCTGCAAGACCTCTGGGATTTCTGAAGAAAAAAAAAAAAAGGAAAGGGGAAGAGAAAGGGAGGAGAGAAGAGAAGAGAAGAGAAGAGAAGAGAAGAGAAGAGAAGAGAAGAGAAGAGAAGAGAAGAGAAGAGAAGAGAAGAGAAGAGAAGAGAAGAGAAGAGAGAGAAGAGAAGAGAAGAGAAGAGAAGAGAAGAGAAGAGAAGAGAAGAGAAGAGAAGAGAAGAGAAGAGAAGAGAAGAGAAGAGAAGAGAAGAGAAGAGAAGAGAAGAGAAGAGAAGAGAAGAGAAGAGAAGGAGAAAACTCTTAGCAGCCATTTCTGTCTTTTTCCCATCCTCTTGATCTTGCAGTGTCTCACCCCTGCTCTTCCCTAGCCTCCCCAGTGAGCACAATTTCAGACACAGGAGGGAGCTGCCACCACGCAGCAGCCATGCCCTCCTCAGGAAAGCATCTCAGAGAGGTGGCGATGGCTCATGAAGGCCCAGCTTTACTCAGGGCACCATGGGGATGCCCAGGGTTTCCATGTGAGATGTGGAAAGACCCAGGGTGTGCCCACGTCCCTCCCCAGCCAGTGCCGCCAGCTCCTTTCCATCCCCAGGGAGGCTGCCCGTGGCCAGGCGCTTCGCCACCACCAGGAGAAGGGGCACAGGGGACACCCAGCGGGTGGGCTTGGGAACCAAGGCTCTGCCTGCGGAGGGGACAGCTCCTCACTCCTGTATGGCAGCGTGGGGCCCAGCACGTTGCCCTGACGTGAGAGGGCAATGCAGCTCCCTGGGCAACCGGGAGCAGGTTCAGCAAGTGAGAACACCAGCCCAGATGCAGACATATATTTATCATGAAAGAGGAAAAGAGACTGGAGAGAGGAAGCCAGCCAGGTGTCGATTTGCCACCAGTGCAGCCAAGGGATGCCTGATCTCTGTTCTGTGTGGCTCTGGCAGGGGGATGCTGGGGGCAGGAGGTGATGGCATTCGGGTGGCACAGCTACCTGCAGCTGCACTGAGGAAGGCTGCCAAAAGAGGGGGTGGCCAGGAGGGACTTTCTGGGCTTTGGGGTCTTGTCCCTGCTGCCAAAAGCCTCCCTGTCCACAGAGGATCCCCCACACAGCAGCCAGAGAGCCGACGAGGGTGGGATTCGAACCCACGCATGCAGAGCACAATGGATTAGCAGTCCATCGCCTTCACCACTCGGCCACCTCGTCCCCTGCTCCAGCCCACATTTGGGGATTTTTTTTTCACTTTGGAGCACAGGTTGCAAACCCACAGATGCTCCACCAGGGTGTCCC